TGCAACTGAAGGTGCTCAAAGTGCTGCGTACAAAGTGCCGCTCCTGCCACGAAACCTGCTACATGGAGGTGCTCAAAGTGCTGTGCCTGCCACGAAATCTGCACTTCCAATGCGCAAAGTGGCGCTCCTGCCACGAAACCTGCTACTGGAGGTGCTCAAAGTGCTGCGCCTGCCACGAAATCTGCAGTTCCAGTGCACAAAGTGCCGCTCCTGCCACGAAATCTGCTACTAGAGGTGATCAAAGTGCTGCGCAGGCCGCGAAATCTGCAGTTCCAGTGCACAAAGTGCCGCTCCTGCCACGAAATCTGCTACTAGAGGTGATCAAAGTGCTGCGCAGGCCGCGAAATCTGCAGTTCCAGTGCACAAAGTGCTGCTCCTGCCACGAAATCTGCCAGTGGAGATGCTCAAAGTGCTGCGCGCACCACGAAATCTGCACATCCAGATTCACATCGCGCAGCGCTGCCAAGGCAGTTTGCAGTGGCAGGCACAGCTCTTTGTGAGAGATATTTTGTTTTTGATACAAAATAATTTTCTTTTTGACAGGATATAGTTATTTTTTTTTGATATATTTAAATTTTCTTTTTGATAGCCCGGCCCCGTCGCCGTCGCCGTCGCCATCGCCGTCGCCGTCGCCGTCGCCGTCGTAGTTGTAGTTGTAGTCGTAGTCGTAGTCGCAGTCGTAGTCGTAGTCGTAGTCGTAGTAGTAGTAGTAGTAGTAGTAGGAGTAGGAGTAGGAGTAGGAGTAGGAGTAGTAGTAGTAGTAGTGGTGGTGGTAGTGTCGTAGTCGTACTGGTAGTGGTGGTGGTGGTGGTGTTGGTCGTAGTAGCAATGATGGTAGTAGTAGTAGTAGGTAGTAGGTAGTAGGTAGTAGGTAGTAGGTAGTAGGTAGTAGGTAGTAGGTAGTACGTAGTAGGTAGTAGGTAGTAGGTAGTAAGTAGTAGGTAGTAGGTAGTAGTAGTAGTAGTAGTAGTAGTAGTAGTAGTAGGAGCAGCAGCAGCAGCAGTCGGAGTCGGAGTCGTAGTCGTAGTCGCAGTCGTAGTCGTAGTCGTAGTCGTAGTCGCAGCAGTAGCGGTAGAGGTAGCGGTAGTGGCAGTCGCAGTAGCAGCAGTAGGAGTAGGAGTTGGAGTAGCAGTAGGAGTCGAGGAGGAGTAGTGGTAGTAGTCGTCAGTCTATCTATCTATCTTTCTACCTATTCATCTATTTATTGATCTATTTATCTCTGTTTATGTATTTCTATCTATCTACCTATTTACCTACCTACCTACCTATCTGTCTATCTATATCTATATCTATATCTAAATCTATATCTATATCTATATCTATATCTATATCTATATCTATCTCTCTATCCATCTATCTATCTATCTATCTGACTATCTATCCATCCATCCATCCATCTATCTACCTATTCTTTTTCTCTCTCTCTCTATCATCTTGCCTTGTCTTGCCTGTCTTGTCTTGTCTTGGTTTGTCTTGCCTTGTCTATTTCACCTATCCTAATCTATCTGCTCATCTAATCTAATTAATCTATCTATCTGAAACCTGCCTCAGGTCCACGTCAACAGCCTTGTCCGGGAAGCCGCCCTCTCCCTGCCGAACGTTGCTTCCTGGCGCCGGTAACAAGTCTAGCCTATCTACCTATGTATGTAAGTCTACCGCCATGCTATTAATTGATCTATTTCCATGGAAAATGGCCGCGGAAACCGCCCTGCTCCTTTTTGCGTGCCACTCTGCCAACTTCTGAGCGGCCGGCTTCGCCACGCCGTTAACCAATCTATTTCCACGTGGAAGATGATCCCGGCAGCCGCTCTCTCACTACCAAATGTCGCTTTCTGACACCAGTAAAAAATCTCTATCTTCAAGGTCCTCTCGCCTGAGACCTGTCTCCGGCAAAGAAAGTATGGAACGATCGACATCCGCCAAAAAATGGTTCTCCACGTTGTGCGATGACAACTGAACTTCTTTGGCGCGCTCCCCCACCATCGGCTGGGGTCGGCGGATATCTGGCCCAAGATCGCGGAGTCCAGGTCTGCAGGTTGGTCATGGTTCATTGTGTTCGTCTGAACACCCTCCAGGACCTTTAGAAAAGTGACCTTGAACTGGCGTTCGTGACCGAACAGTTGTGACCGAACAGTCGTGACCGTCGTGACGACTTGATACGAGGCGGCTCCCGATGTGGGTCGTGTTCTTCTCTCCTTGTTCGAGCACTGTCCCAAATTCCCGGCTGTCGAAAATCAACGGGAACGCACCACCCGCCAGGAGTTTCAGCTGAAGCAAGAAGCCATGACTGCGACCGGGTCGCTCCAACGGAAACGCTACAGCGAGCGGCGTGTGGAGGCGGGAGCCGCAGAAACTGCGGTTTACGGCTGGGCGGGAGTGGCTGGAGGTTGTGGTTAAAATGAGTGGCACAAGGATGCACGGAAGGTGTGTCTCAAAGTGAAGGTTCAACATCCCTACGAAATAGGGTGTTCAGTCTACCAGGACATTTTCTTTCGATGAGACACAACAGTTTCATAGTGGGAGAGACGGAGAACATTCATCGGGTCATGGACACCTATGGCTTTGCATCCGTAAGTCAGCCATAATGAGGCGTTTGGTAGTGGGATTCATGAAAGCCCGGTCAGACAACTGATAGAGTAGGACAACCATGTATATACATATAGACACTATTGTTCCCAAACAAGGAAGTTGTATAATTAGCTGCCATTCGGGAAGTATTTCTTGTATTTGTATTAGCTGCCATTTGGGACAACAGATTTTCCTGGCTGTTTGGGAATTGAAGAGAGTAAATTGATCAGAAACTAGACTTCTTAGTACAAACCCTTCCCGGGTGCCTCTGGTTCATCCGAGCAGTTTGTCAGGTGCAGGAGAAGAGTGGGTCCTCGTCCATTGCATCTTGGTCACAAAAGTCATCGGCACACGCGCATGCGTGAGTTCATGTTGGTCCATTTCCCTGATTTGGGGCAGACAGATCTTTGACTCCAATCCACTTCGAGAGCTGAGTGGTTCTTTCGAAACGCCCAAGAATGCCATGCAGTGATGATGTAGAGGAAATCCCCCAAGACTCATGTAGATCAGCGGCGAACCCGTAGACATCAATCACATTTGATCCTACGATCATATTCGATCTATATGTTTATGGTCTCTCTCTCTCTCTCACACACACACACTCTCTCTCTCTCTGTCTCTCTCTGTGAGACCTGCCAGTTCTTTCATAGGGCCGGCCTATATACCTTGGGTCCACTTTGGTCCACTGAACACTGTCCCAAGCTCCTCGTACGTGCACGCCTTGCGCTCCGGTAGTCACTCCAGGCGCGGCAGATGGATCGAGTCGCCGGCATGATTCAGCATCCGCTCTTCGAGTCCACCATGACGATCATCGTGGCGCTCAATGTGTCTGGGAAGGAAGGATTGCAGGAGGTATGCCTGTAGCAACGGGAGGGAAAGGGGCTGCGCAGGTCAGCAGCAGGTCATCAGGATTTTGCCTGGTCTTTTGAGGCAGTTGCCTGATTTTTTTGTCATTAAAAACAATTCGACAGAGTTAAGGTGGCCTGTTTGCAGAGAGATTGGGGCCCTTTCATTGGAAGATACAGGTTTAAGCCATGGGTGGGGAGGCTCGCACCTATGGCTTTGTGTAAAAGCAAGTTGCATGAACTCCAAACGATGGAGTTGAGCAGTTCGCAGTTCGGTTTTACGGTCCGAGCATGTGATTTTGCTGGAGCTCCAGATGGGAGTGCAACAGTCCGTCATGTGAGTCATGTGTAACACGAGCCGAAAAGAATGGGGAGTGAAGCTGATGGAAGCGGGAGGGAGCGACAGTGACTTCCGTCGCCCGGGGGGTATGCAGTTCTTCCCTCTGAAGCAGAGACCCGAAAAGGGTAGCAGTTGACCACGGGAGGTCTCCAACCCATCGGCCCTTCGGCGCTTCGGCCCCACCAAGGGACGACCAAACCACGAAAGGAAGGTCGACCGTTTTCCCTCCAGCATCAGCGAGTTCACCGAAAAGCAAACACTCTGACTAGACGCTCCTCATGTCATTCGCAGCGAGTTCACCGAACATGGGGAGGTGAACAGTTGGGGGAAGGTCGGGCCCCCGGAAAATGTGGGGAAGAGACCACGAGGGAATTGGGGGCACCTGTAGATACCTGACATTTTCGGGACCCGAAAAGGAGCCAGCCACCCTCATTCCTTACCAGACCAAAAGCACCAGTCAGTTCTTGGGGTTTTTACGACCTGCCGGTCTTCCCTCGGACCAACGCCGAGAGTTGCGAGGGGGAGAGGGAGGCCGTCAAGGGCCTGACATGACTGGTGCATGGCTGTCAAAAACCGATCCCTTTCAGGGTCAACGGAAAAGGATGAACGGTGCATTGGACATCATTCGACCAAATGGACTGGACCCAGACATTTGACATCCTTGGACAGCCAAAGGATATGCACTCAGACATTTGACATCATTGGACATAGCACACCGACTGGCATCGTTTTACAGGGAGCATAGTGGACCAAGCACAGTCGACGTCTGGCCTTTTCGGTTCCCGACGTTCCTTATGCCACCCGGGTGCGGTCGCCAGGGGATGGAGGTGGTTACGTCGTCCCGTCGGTCGCGTGGGGCGTTCGTTAAGGCGGTCTTCATCGGCATCGATACTGAGAACAGCTTGCAGCGTGAAGGACCTGGAGTTGGTTGGGAAACGCACGCAGCAGCGTTGGTTCGTTGGTGCGTTGGTTGGTAGGTGGGTAGGTAGGTAGGTAGGTAGGTTGGTTGGAGAACAGTTTGCAGCGTTTCCGAGTTTCCTTGAACTCATGGACTTGAAAAATGGCGGAACACCGGGTAGAATCGTCCTTCAATGCTTCGAACAAAGAAATGGTTTGGCAGGTCTTTGTTAGTCCTAATCCAATTGATATATATATATATATACATATGACATCTTCTCTTTAGAGTGAGATGGTTTGCATGAGGGTACGATTGCGGCCATCGGCTCAAAAAGCTGATCACGCGGCGCATGGCCTGCTGCGCCAAGTGCCGCCGAGCACCTCCTGCTGGAGGTGACTCGTGGTGCTTGGCCTGCACCGCCTGTGAAGCGCTCGGCGCGGAGCTGGGGTTCCACTGGGGACACCCCGGGCTCCGCGCCGTCGCGACCGACATCTGCGTGTCGGCGGTCAGGCAGGTGCGGGCCCTTCGTGTGACGCGGGTGGTCCCGCCCGCGGCTGGGGCACCTCGCGACCCCGCGCCGCGCGGTGTGGTGACACCGCCGCCGGTGGCCGGAGCTGGATCTGAGCCATCGGACCCCCGGAGGCCCTTGGCGAGGTCTCCTCGGCCGGCCGCTGAGGCCCGTGAGGGTGAGCGGAGCGGCGCTGCTGCTTCGGCTCTCGAGCCGCCTGAGGCGGAAGAAGAGACCTCAGGAGAATCGGAGGAATCCGGATCCGGGTCGGAGGTGACCACTATTGGGCCGGGAGTGACACCGGTGACCACTACAGGGCTGGCTGCAAAGGCGCGCCCTGAGGCCAGGCCGTCGAAGGAGGTTGACGAGGTGGCCAAGGAGGAGGTTGAAGAGGCGCGAGACGACGGACGAGAGGCTGACAAGGTCGAGCCTGAGTCCCCTGAGGACCCCCCACAGCCTAGGTCTTCGACCGGTCATCGACGTTCGAAGAGGGATTCGAATCGGTCGCACAGGTCCCATCACCATTCGAAACGGAGGGACAAGCCGAGAAGGAAGAAGCCGCACAGAGCAGGACGCAAGCACAAGCGATTGGAGCGGGCCGATCACAACCCGTTCATCAAGATCCATAGGAGTCTCGACAGGTCGTACTTCGACTTTGACCCCACTGCCCCCAGGGAGACGGTGGCAGGACTTCCTCCTCGACCTCGACAATGACGGACCCGACGGAGGCTTTGTTGCATGTAGCACGAGGAGGGGACGACTTCTTCGGGCGCTACGAGGTTTCAAATTTCGAGCGCTGGAACTTGTTTGCCCCTCGCGCAGGAAACGTTTTGACGACCGAGCTGCCAGGAGAGTGGTTCGGTCAAGATGGTATAGAAGGAGTTTTTGTGGTAACCGACAGAGAACTGCAAGCAGATGGTTCGATGCTGGTATATGTAAGGGCTGTTGGAGCAAGTCGAGACGATGCTCTACCAGCTCTATCCTCGAGTTTCAACCGGCGAGCTGGCGCTCTCCACATTTGCCTTGGAGAGGGGCCGTGCTCAGCCGAAGGGGCGGTTTTCCACGTAAGAAGCCTGGAGCTGTGGGATGGACCTACGTTCCCAGGCCACCGCCTGTCGGTTGGAGGCCGCCGGATGCTCAAGCAAGTCCTGGCGGGCGCAGAGGTTGCAGATGGAGCGGAATGGGAAGAAGGCCCAGCAGTCGACCTTGGAGATTCGTCAAAGAAGGGGTTGATTGCAGAGCCGGAGAAGAAGCGGAAGAGAGATACAGGCACAGGAAAGGGAGGTCGTCCCCCGGTTCGCCCGAAGCCGAAGAAGAAGCAGGACGGAGATGGAGGAGATTTTCCGCCTACGGCCCCTGGCATTTTGCGAGACAGGCTGGAAAAGATCCGTGCCCGTCAAGAGACTATGGGTCGTGGAGCGACCCCAGAGAGAGATGGAGAAGACTTGGAGAAAGGGGAGGCTGGAAGTGCCGCCCATGCAGTGGAACGCTTGACGACGTCGAGGAAGCTTGGCGAGACCTCGATTGTTGCTGGAAGAGGAGTTCAGAGGCCGGGCAATGGTCAGGCGGAGCGAAGAGGAGGTACTATGAAGAGCTTGACGGACAAGCCTCGGACGGCTGGAGTCACTTCGAGCCTGGTCCTGAGAGCAGCAGAGGCGTGCAAGAGGAGCAAGTCCGGGAAAAAGAAAAAGAAGAAGAAAGAGAAAGCTTTCGATGCCCTTCGCACGATCTTCGGAGGCAAGAAGAAAAAGAAGAAGAAGAAGAAAAAGAAGGGCGGATCCGAGGACCCGGACGGCGGATCTGGAGGTGGAAGTTCTGGGGGGGTCAGGCGACTCCTCAGAGGACGGGGGTTCGAGCGACAGTTCAGGAGGGAAGGAAAGCTCCGACGAGGCCTCCTTGCTCCCACCTCTCAAAAAGAAAAGCGATCGCCAAGAAGGATCAGTGCTCGAGCTCCTCGTGGAACAGGTGGAGATGCGCCTCAACGAGTTGTCAGGCTCCGGAGAACACAGCAATGCCCTGATGCAGGGGACGAAGATAGTGACCTACTGGCACTCACTCACCCAAGGAGGGGGAGTGAGTCAACAGACTCGAGACGGCCGCGAATTGTTCCTCATAGCAAACTGCATCGACCTTCTCCGAGTAGGCCGCCTTGGCCGCCTCGGGGATGCGCTGGCGGCTCGGTGGTTTGCTCTGGAGCAAGCACAGTTGGACCAAGGCTGGTCGGCAGCCAAGCATTTGGAGCTGTACTCACCGGAGCACTTGACAGCGGCGGGACCGGCCATCACGCTGGCTGCCAGAAAGTATTCGAAGCTGATGGACAAGGTGGCCGCCACAGACGAGAAGAAGACCAAGTCTTGGGGAAAGGGCCGCAAAGGCCAAAACGCCGGAGGCTGGCAACCCGCCGATGCCTGGCAGGCGAAAGGAGGAAAAGGCAAAGGCGGGAAGCACCAGAAGGACGACCAGTGGGGCAAGTGGCAACAGGACGGGCGCGGGAGCTGGAAGAAGCAGAACTGGCCCGGGAACTGGAAGAAGGCACACCAGCAGGAGGACAAGGAAAAGGCCGATGCTCCCAAGGGGAAGAACGATTCGGCCTAGCTTTGGACGAGCGTTGGTGGAGAGCTCTGCTCAACTCGGCTGGATCTCTGTCCGTGCTGGGAGTAGGGCTGTACTTTTGTGTTTTTCACCCTCAGATGGCAGAGAAGGACCGTCTGCTGGAAGATCTTCGGAGCTTGATAGCTTCTGAAAAAGAGCGTCCAGCACCACGAGCTTTCCGCTCACGTCGAAATCTGTTTCCTCTGCCGTCCGAGTGTCGTGAGGAGTTGAATCTGTTTCCTTTTGAATTAGGACTGGGCTCTGTTTTGAAGGACTCGGTGCTGATTGAGAAAGCTGCGGAGTCCTGCTGGTGCGAGTTGGTGCGTGTGTTTGTTAATAGGTTGTCTGGTTGTAAGGACTGTGTTGGCTCTCTTCCTCCGTCTGCCCCACAAAGAGACTTGCTGAATTCGTTGCGCGCTAGTGTAAAGAGATTGCTATGTGAAGATGTTGAGCTTGATTGGGGATTGGACCAAGTGGTTGATGATTTTTCGAAGAGGACCCTCTCCTATACGGGAGAGGAAGTGTGTAAGGCGGAAGCCTTGTCGTTGGAAAGAATCTTGCCAGCGCTCCCCCCTGAAGGACATGGAGGAGCCATAAAGGTAGTTGATTGGGTTGGCGTGCGCACTCGTTGGTTGTTGGAAAACCCTCAAGCCTGCATCTGCCCGGATGTGGGGCAGGAGTTGCCGAGGCTGCAGGGAAAGGTCCACATTCCTCAGAGTGAACAGCTGCCAGTAGCAAGAGAGTTGGTTAGGCGTGGCATTTGTACCTGGACGGAGGACTCGGAGGTGCTGCGTTATCGAGGACGAAGTGCTAAGTGGCCTATTTGGAGTTCCGAAGAGCAAGCTCCTGCCGGACGGAAGGAGCGTCTTGCGGTTGATAATGAATCTCACTCCTATTAATGCTGTCCTCAAAGTGATAGAAGGGCGAGTGGCCCGCCTCCCCAGCATCACGCAGTGGCTGAGTGTCGTGGTAGGTGACGATGAAGAGGTCCGCATTTCGCAGAGTGACATGGCATGTGCTTTCTATCTTTTCAAGCTCCCCTCGCAGTGGTCCAGGCTGTTGACCTTCAATGTGGGCTTCTCAGGTTCAGAACTGGGTTTCTTGGACAGCGAGCACAGAAGTAAGAGATGGTTCTTGTCGTGTCAGGTCCTTCCAATGGGCTGGTCCTCAGCCGTGGGAGTGATGCAAGAGGCAGCGGAGACTATTTTACTACGAGGAGGACTAGACGCTGGGGGGCAGTTGTCTAAAACGAGCCCTCTGCCGCCTTGGCTAGTCGACTGTGACCCTGGCGAGGCGAATCAAGGCCGCCCGTGGTGGCATGTGTATTTGGATAATTTCGCCGGGGGGGGCTAAAGTAAAAGGAACTGAAGCTGATGCGTTGGTGGACCTGCAGCATGCAGCCGAGGAAGAATGGGACAAAGCGGGCATAGTCATTTCTAAGGGAAAGAGCGTGTCGGCGGCGAGTTCAGGTGTTGAGCTAGGCGCATTCATTGGGGGAAAAGGCCAGTGGATTGGAGCTGGACCAGATCGTACGCTCAAGATTGCTAAAGGTTCGTTGTGGCTGGCAGGGCAATCACACGTGTCGAGAAAGAAACTTCAGATTGTGATGGGGCGCTGGTGCTTTGCCCTTCAGTTTCGACGACCCGCTATGTCTCATTTTGACAAAGTTTGGTCGTGGATATCGGGGAAGTCCGTGTACGCTGGTGCTGGCCGGGAAGTCAAGTTAGAATTGATTCTGGCTGTCATGGGCATCCCGCTGTTTCACACCTGGCTGGGAGCTAGGGTCGATGAATCAATTACATGCAGTGACGCAAGCATGCGGGGAGGGGCAGTGGCTGTTTCTAGGACCTTGAGCTCCGCAGGCAAGTCATTTGTGGAGTCCCAAACGCGCCACAATGCCCCACTAGCTGTGCCTGTGGTTGTAATCTCCCTTTTTAACGGAATCGGTGGAGCGGCGCGGTGCTATGACATCTGTGGCGTTGAGGTAAAGGCCTACATTGCGTGTGACATTCACAAGCCTAGCAACCGTGTTTGTGCGCGGAGGTGGCCCAACATGATCTTCTGGGAAGATGTCAAGACGCTGTCTAAGAGTGTTCTCGCTGAGCTGTTGGCGGGGGTCGGTGACTTTGAAGAGCTTCACGGTTGGGCTGGTTTCCCTTGTGTTGACCTAAGTAGTGTGAGGGCAAATCGGAGGAATCTGCAAGGGGAGGCCAGCGGGCTTATTTTCGAGGCTCTTAGAGTGTTTAGGGAGTGCGTGGAACTGTTCCCAGAGGCGCGCTTTGAATATTTCTATGAGAATGTCTCGAGCATGGACCCGGAGGCCCGAGATCAAATTAGCGCGCTGGTAGGAGTTCTCCCTTACAAACTCGACCCAAGCTGTCAGGTACCTAATAGCCGACCCCGTTTTTGTTGGACGTCGATTTCACTGGAGCGGGCGCCGGGACTCGTCCTGACTTCTCATGAGGGCTATACGCTTGTGCAAGTGGACGGGACATGGCCTCGTTCGACACAGTGGATGACAGAAGGATGGGAGCAAGCCGACGATTCGGTCATTTATCCCACGTTTATGAAAGCGATTCCCAGAGGCAGGCCACCGGTTCGGCCCGCCGGGTTAGAACGGACTGACCGGGCTACCCGTGCTAGGTGGGAAGATGACGCCTTTCGCTTCCCGCCATATCAATACAAATACAAGTACCTATTGTTTTCGCTCCAGGATGGCACTGGTCGTCTCCTCAACTCTGACGAGAGGGAGATTTTGATGGGCTATGGCCCGGGGCACACAAAACTATGCATGTCTGCCTCTGACATCAAAGGCCGCGAGCAGGCTTATGAAGATGAAAGGTGCAGCCTGGTTGGGGATTCATTTTCAATCTGGTCCTTTTGTCTGGTGGCTGCCGCAGGAGTGGCTAAGTTTGTTGGCTGGCTAGACCCTCAACTGTTGTTTCAGCGCATGGGCCTCCCACCTGGTCTGGGGTTGCGAAGCGACTTGATCTGCCCGCTGCAGACGGGGTTTGAGATCCCTACGCTTCTGGGTTCAGCCGACGTTCAGCAAATGAACCAACACCTCCTTGCTCGTGTTCGTCACACAGGAAGCGACAGTCGGATTACCTCCGGGCAGATCTTGAACCCGAAAGCCTTCCCTAGACAGTCCGCTCAAGCACTCTGGTGGGAATGGGAGCAAGTGTTCCGAACGCGCTGGGCTCAAGCCGAACAGATCAATGCATTGGAGATTAGGGCAATATACCTTTCTTTGCTTTGGAAGACTTTGCAGCGGTCTGTTTGCAATCGTAGAATTTTTCACCTCTCCGACTCTTATGTCAGTATTTCAATTCTATCGAAGGGTAGGACGGCTAGCAGGAAGCTCCACTTTATCGTCAACAAAATCAATGCTTTACTGTTAGCAGCCCATTGCATATTAAATCTCGTCCATGTCGACTCGTCGGACAACCCGACGGACGAGGCGAGCCGGGCCTGAACGGCTGGCGGCTGAACGACGGCGGCTGCGCGGCCGGCTGAGTCTGTTAGACCGTGCCGTCACCATTAAGACCCGCATCCGTTATTTCGTGGCAGTCAGCCAAGTAGTTGAGAGGCTAGAGCACACCCGGCTCGACATTGATGAATTTATGATGCAGTGGGTTGATGAACGCTACCTTGCAGGGGCCAGCATCACCAGCGTGGCTGACACTCTGTCGGGCCTGCACCACTATTTACCGTGGTCCAAAGGTCGTCTCAGAGGTGCTTGGAGGATCTACGGCCTATGGAGGAAACTCGAACGACCACGACAAGCACCGCCCTTTCCGATTGAGGTCGTTGAAGGCCTCGTTGGGAGGTGCGTCATGGTTGAAGACCTCAGGCTGGCCCTGTGCCTTTGCCTAGGGTTCTGGGGGATGTTACGGACTGGCGAAATCTTTGCCGTTCGGTTTCGTCACCTTCTGATCTCCCGTACCAACATGGTGGTCCGTCTTGGAGAGACCAAGACTGGAGTGAGACGACAGGTTGACGAAAACGTAGTGACCACCCATGGCCCGACTATTTTGATTGCCCGCACGGTTTCCGACATCGTCTCCTCCCGGAATGAGAAAATTTGGCCCAATTCGTCCGCGGAGTTTCGTACGGCTTTTAAACGGCTTCAACAGTTTTTCCGTTTGCCCTCTTCGTTCAGGCCCTACTCCCTCAGACGAGGGGGAGCTACGGAGGACTTCCGGCAGCACGGCCTGATGGAAAGGTCCCTATTGCGGGGCCGGTGGGGCTCTTCGTATGCTGCCAGGCAATATATTCAGGAAGGGCTTTCCATGTTGACCAAGCTTTCACTTTCCCCCCGCACCCTTGCCCTTTTGGCTTCTTATACTCCTTTGATGGCCACCCCTTAAAGGGCTGTCCAGTACTGGGGTCGTGGAGAACAGTGGATCGAGCTTGCCAATATAGCTCGCAAATGGCTTT